AGAATTCAAACTTCATCCTCCTGGTGCAGTGCAGTGCAGGGCTTTGGGCAACGGGTGGGGGGAAGGACCCTGGCTCACTTGTGTTCTCCCTCCCCAAGTGTAGTTTGATTGCAGGTGGAGCCAGGTTGCCTTTTCAAACCTGTAATCAGAGAAGCTGGGCTGGATTTTTACATAGCTGATCTGAGCCTTCCGAAAGAAAGGGTCTGGGGGAAAGTGTGTGTGCTACAGCATGGCTCTTTGCCTGGCTTCCTGCCTCCTCCTGTGGTCTCTTCAGTGCTCGCTCATGCTCTCCCTCCGCAAGTGTAGTTTGATTGCAGGTGGAGCCAGGTTGCCTTTTCAAACCTGTAATCAGAGAAGCTGGGCTGGATTTTTACATAGCTGATCTGAGCCTTCCGAAAGAAAGGGTCTGGGGGAAAGTGTGTGTGCTACAGCATGGCTCTTTGCCTGGCTTCCTGCCTCCTCCTGTGGTCTCTTCAGTGCTCGCTCATGCTCTCCCTCCGCAAGTGTAGTTTGATTGCAGGTGGAACCACATTGCTCCGCCTCAGAGGAATCCCACCTTCGTCGCCAATGTTCTATCTGGGAGAACGCGGGCAGACAAACGGAGGCGAGCCAGGACTTCAAGTCAGCTAACAGTTTATTTCCAACAGGTTGCCAACACGGCACTTCACATTCTGCACGTATCAGCTAACCGGCAACAACTGAGCCCTGTTTGACAGCTCTTTATATATGCCGGCTGTCAAATAGATAACCAATCAGTAACGAAGGACACGCACCCCCCCCCCAGCCAACGGACCAGAGAGGAAACTATAGTACAAAACACATAATGTATAATAAAAACTTCCAAGATGAAAGATGTTAGTTTAAGTTGTGTTGTGGCAGGTGGGCCCAAGGGTCCTAATTTAATATCAAATCTTCAATAGGTTGGCCTTTCTTTGCCTCTATCCATGTTGTAATATTAAGAAAGTATTACAAATCTTGCCAAATGTACTGTTCCATATATGGTTAAGGCTGGCATATCTTACACCATCTGTTAGTTTCAGGAGCTTCTTCCATGTCCTACCCTTGCATTACAGAAATATCATGGTACGTAGGTCAGTAAGCGTACAATACATTTGGCAAGATTTGTAATACTTTCCTGTTCTGACCCCCACCTTGCCCATTCAGAAACTACAGCCCCACACACACAGCTTGCAAAGGACTGTTTTTATCAGTCCTGGCTCTTGCTGGCTGCGAGCCCAGAATAAACACAGATAAATTTTCTGCCAAAAGTAAACTACAGCAAAACAGATCTATATAAATCAAATCACTTATCCAAGTGCTTTTTCTCAATGATTGCAAACAAACAGAGAACTTGACTAGAACAGGAACGGAACGGAATGGAACGTTGACTTCTGCAACCAGGGCTTGGCACCATCAGTCNTTCTTTTCTGTCTCCCTTCCTTCTCTATAGTGGTTCCTATTTTTCTACTTGCATGTTTACATGCTTTCAAACTGCTAGGTTGGCAGAAGCAACGGGAGCTCACTCCATTATATGGCGCTAGGGATTCGAACTGCCAAACTGCCAACCTTTCTGATTGAGAAGCTCACCGTCTTAGCCACTGAGCCACCGCATCCCTCTGGAAGCTGCCTGGGTATGACGCGAATAGGCAGGCACCCAATACTTAATCAATGGTTCTTGAATTATGGCTTGTCCTCGCAGAATAGATTGGCTTGCTCCCACACAGCTTCTGCTTAAGCATTATACCTATATTCACAGTATTGTCATGGCACGTAGTATAGAAGAATGATTTGTACCAGAGATCAGCACACAGAGTCACTGAAACACACCTTGTTGGCTTCAGTACTAAAGAACCAAGCGTAAAGAGGCAGGATTAACCCAAATATTGCATTTGGGTTAATCGATGGTGCAACCATAGGGAGGAAGATCTTATTTTATTGTTAGAAACAACCGCAAAAAAGAAACAAGGACAAAAGAAAGGGATGAGTTTTAAGTAGGTGTAAGAGGGCGTGATAGGAGAACATGTTCTTTTATAATAATCTTTTAAAAGCTATTTGTAATGCTGAAGCATGGATACGCTGAGAACAGTACAGCCAGAAATGGCTGAAAGCAGAGGTGGGTTCCTTCTGGTTCATACCAGTTCAACCGGTAGTAACTTGGCAGTCTCGGTCGCTGGAACCGGCAGCAACCCAGGCCTGCCATGCCCCCAAACCGGTTCTCCTACGGCGGCGGCATCTTGATTTTCGGTTCTGCGCATGCGCAGCACAATTTTCATCACAGAAACATATTTCTTAACATTTTGTGCATGCGCAAACCTTTTTAGGTTTGGCGTGCGTGCGAGCAAAACATTTTGCCCGCCAAACCAGCAGTAACGTTGGCAGCTGCCCATCCCTGGCGGAAAGTGATGGGACAAGTCATCAAAGAAAAATCAACACACCAACTTCAGGTATGTTTTATGACAGTGATGGCTAACCTTTTCTGGCTTGAGTGCCCAAAGCGTGCGTGGGAATGCATGCACATATTCATGCCCAACCCCCCCAAATGCAATGCGGGCACATCCCTGCGCATGCACCCTGTCTTCCCCCTACCATAGATCTTATTTTTTGACAGCACGGTAACTCAGTGGTTAAGACGCTGGGCTTGTCGGTTGGAAATCTGACAGTCCAGGTTTGGGATCAGGACGCGTTGTTCTTTTCGTGATTTCATCTATTGTTCTCCTGTGGTTGATGAATGTTTTGCTCGGGGTAAACACCCAAACCGGTCAGTCCACGCAAAGGGGTGAGCTCCTGTCCTTCCCTTAGCTCCTGCCAACCTAGACATTCAAAAGTAAGAAGAAACCCAAAGACCAGCTGGCCAGCGGGAGGCATGCGCGCCTGCACAGCAGAGCTGAAGTGGGACGACGGCTGGTGTGCCATCAGAGAAGGCTCTGCTTGCCACCTCTGGCACGCATGCGATAGGTTCACCATCATGGTTTTAATGACTTCCTCTTCCTTCCCAACAATTAATTCTGAGAAAGGACTCAGAAACTCTTTTCTTCATGTCAGCCTGAAAATTGGGGGGAGGGGGGGCTGGGTATCCCAGCACTGGATTTAAAGCAATATGCAGGGGCTCAATTCTTAGTAATGCACTACCCTCACTGAAGAGATGGGATGGTTCCTGTCCTTGCTTGCTCTTTAACAAACCATCAAGGTGTTTCTTTCGGCAAGTCTTGGTACAGGACACGTTGTTCTTTCCATGATTTCATCTATTGTTCTCCTATGGTTGATGAATGTTTTGCTCGAGGTAAACACCCAAACCGGTCAGTCCTAGAGGAAGGATTCCCTGGAGAAGAGCCTNGGAGTGGGGGTCAGAACAGTGGACATTGCAATAACTGGAGATAGCAGAATAGAAAATAAAGAACTGGGGGGGGGAGGGATAAGAAAATATAAAGACCTGCAAATAGAAGTAGAATGAGGATAGCAAAAGAAAACAAAGGTAGTACTAATAGTAACAAACCTTGGGTACAATTCCAAAACACTGGAGCAACCACTTGAGTATAATCAACATTCACATAATCACCATCAGTCACTTGCAAAAGGCAGCTTTACTTGGAACAGCTTACATATCACAACAATATCTTTAATATTATTAAAGAACACCAAATCTGCCTATTCCAGTTATTTGGGAAGGACTCAATAGGTGGATAAAAATGTCAAATACAGTTTAAACATCTGGATGACTCTAGTTTGCAACCAACTTTCCAGGCTAGGAAAATCATTTAAATTGCTAGCAACTTGTTTTGACTAGGCTAAGTGGATAGCCTAAAATAGTTAGAGACTAATGATACATGGAATGTTTAGTACACATCATAAAGGTACATACAGTATTTGAAAGTCTTCATTTCAGATACTATTAAAGACCAAGAAA